GGAAGGAAGCAGCAGGGGGGCCCCAGAGAGGGGCCTGGCTTGGAATGTGCATCCCAGGCCCACTGCCAGGTACACAGTGTCCTAGCCTGAAGGGGGACAAAGGGACAGTCCCTTGGGGGTCAGACTCACGGCCCTGCCAGCCCAGGATGCAGGCCAAGAGCATTCCTAAGGGATGTCCAGGTGGGCAGGGGGCCGGTTTGGCGTCAGATTCCCTTCTCAGTGACGCGGCGCTGGGTGACTTTTTGGCCACAGCAGCACCTCGGGCAGTGCCTTTGGGGAGCAGTGGACTCCAGGGAAATGCCCGGGAAGCAAACAGAGCTCTGCTCTGCGTGACTTCTCAGAGCCTTTACTATGCTGAGTGCCTCGTGACTTTCCTTCGGGGCATCGTCTCCAACGGGCACATGTCCCCGCAGCCATCGTGTAGGTGTGGGGCTGCCTCCCCGGCCGCAGCTCAGGGGAAGCTGTTGGACATGGACCGACATGGAGATGGGACCTCGGGAGCAGAGGGCGCGGTCCCAAGGCCCCCCCAGCAGCAGCAGCAGCGGCAGCTGGGCTGGGAGTGGCCCTGAACTCACTCACCGCGGGTCCTTCCCTGTCACAGCTGTGCGTGCCACCCGCTGGGCTCCCAGGAGAACCAGTGCCACCCTGAATCTGGGCAGTGCCCCTGCCGCCCGGGCATCGAGGGCCAGGCCTGCGACAGATGCCAGCTGGGTTTTTTCGGCTTCTCCATCAAGGGCTGCCGGGGTAAGGAAGTTGGTCCTTCCTGGCTCCCTGGAGGGTGTGGCCTGGGGTTTCTGGGCAAAGAGGCCCACGGGGAAGGTGGCTGTGCCACAGGAGAGAGAGGTCAGACCCAGGCAGGTCTCAGCAGCCACGCAGACGCCAGTGCGTGAGCAGAGGGTGCCGAGGGGCCGGGATCCTGTGGACAGACCCATGCCTCACCTCTCTGGGCCTCAGCTTCCTCGCTTGTGCAGTTAGATTGCATGGCAGTTCCTTGCATGCGGGAACTCGGAAACAAGTCAGCATCTCGGTCATCACCTCTGACCTCTGACCCAGTCTCCGGGGAAGGACCCAGGAGTGTCCTTGAGCTGCCCAGGGGGGTCTGGAGCAGCCAGGTATGAGGCTGCAGGGGCCGGGGCTCCGGTGTGGGTGGCTCTCAGGACACTCAGCGCCATCTGCCTGTCCTCCCCACCACCTCCCCCACCCTCACCCTGCAGCCTGCAGGTGCTCCCTGCTGGGCTCCGCCTCGCCCCAATGCCACGAGAACAGCACGTGCGTGTGCAGGCCCGGCTTCGTGGGCTACAAGTGTGACCGCTGCCAGGACAACTTCTTCCTCACGGCCGACAGGGCGCGATGCCAGGAGTGCCCGTCCTGCTACACCCTGGTGAAGGCGGAGGTGAGCCTGCCCCCCTCCAGCTCCGGGCTGGCACTGGGAGCTGCCCGCTCATCCACAGTTCTCAGGATTTCCGGGGCCACCGGCTGCCTCCTCCCCATGCCCACCCAGCCCCCTGGCCCATGCCAACCTGGGCCAGCCCCCACCTCTGCCCTTCCCCTGCTCCTCAGTGGACAGAAGCTCTTGACCCATTTTCTTGCCGACTACCCCGGTCTCTCACTTTCTCAAGGTCAATGGGAATGAGGCCACAGATGGCCATTGGTGGGACGGGTCACGAGGGTGATGCCCACGCTGGGCACAGGGAGAATTCCCAGCAGGGAGGCGTGTGGTGTGGGGTCAGGAGCATGAGCGCGGGGCCCCTCCCCAGCCCTGTCAGTTGTCGCGTGCCCAGGCAGCTGGCAGTCTTGCTTCAGTGTTTCTCTCCTCCAAAATGGAGCGAGTTCAGGCCTGCAACCCCTCACCTGAAACATGAGGCCAGCTTTTGGGAGATGGTGCCGTAGACAGAAAAGATGAGCGAAGCCGAATATTAGGCACCGCCCCCGCGGCGCCTGGGCCAGCCCCTCACCAAACCCAGTGGTGCACCCGCAGGAAAACAGCCGAATATGCACAGTGAGGGGGCAGTAACGCCCACAGGAGCATCCTTCAGGACGGTTCCGCTTCCAAATGAGTTCACGGTTATTTAACCCGGTTTTGCCATCAAATCGGAAACGGAAGGCCTTATGGTTTTTCAGAGCCTTTTGGACTTTTGAATTGAGGAGGGGCTGAGGCCCTGCCACCCCTGCCCCTTAGGGTGGTTACAGGGTGAACGTGAGCCGGTGTGTGGCCGCCGGTCGCCCCCAGCTGGCTCCCAGCAAGCGCTCTGTGAATGCATAGGGCCCGGGTGATTGTAAGAGCGGGGCCGGGAGACGCTGCTTAGCATCCTCGCGCAGCCAGCCACTTCCCAGGCACCCCTGCTCTGTGCCAAGTCCTGGGCAGACATCAGGCCAGCCAGGAAGTCTCCTGGCTCCCCTTCCCAGCCCCCCTCCAGCAGGACAGAGCTCTGGTGGGCTGAATGCCTGCAGGTGCTATGGGTGGGGGAGGGAAGGGGCAGCTCCGAGCATGGGGTGGGCAGGGCTGGTTCTCAGAGGTCTAGTGTGTCCTTAGCCGTGAGGCACAGGGACCCTCAGGGAGGGCATCCCGGGCACAAGTCGGGGGGTGGGGGTGGCGGTGTCCAGGCTGTGTCTCCTTCCTGTCCCCTCCAGGCTGCCAAGCTGAAGACCAGGCTGACCCTGATGGAGGGGTGGCTGCAGGGGTCTGACTGTGGAAGGCCCTGGGAACCAATGGACTTTCTGCAGGGAGAGGCCCCACGGGGGGACAGCTACCAGGGCCACCACCTACTGCAAGGTACGAGGGGAGGCCGGGAGGCGAGGGAAGTGCTGGCTGCTCAGATGCCCCCTGCACTCTGGTCTCCGATGCTTGGAGGGCTCCCAGTTCAGACCCCCCAGAGAACCCACTTGCTGGGAGAGCCTGTCTGACATCCCTGCCACTGTGGGCTCCCCCCATGACACAGTCCTGCCTCCCCATGGACCTCTCCTCCAAGGCCCTTGCCCAGGGGTACTTTATTAATATCAGCCTCTTTACTGTAGCATCGGTCCCGCCCCCGGGCCCCACCCAGACTGTCAACTCAGCCAGACTGTAAGTCCGGGTTGGTTCTCTAATGCACGCACTCCGGGCGCTGTCCCAGGTGCTGAACAGGTGTCTCCCTGGCGTAGAACACAAATGAGTAGATATGGAAAAAGACTGTTATGAACGCCAGGTGGAGTGTGGCCTCACACACTGAAACTTTGGGAGCCTTGAAGGCAAATTGATTATTTTGTGAAATGTCATGTTGATAAATACCCATACTCCCTTAGCAGCCAGACACAGGTGAGCTGAGCACGGTTAGTAAAACCAATGATCAGAACAGGGAGCTGCGTGCTGCGACGCCCATTCTGAGCCCCGCTGCCACGTGCACTGCTGACTCGAGGCGCTTTTAGTGCGGCCCCAGGATTGGGGATGTTTTGTGGCTCTAGAAGGTCTGGCTCCTGCCAGTTCCCTGTCTGCGGCTGACTTCCTGTGTGCGGGACCTTGGGTGCCTGGGCCTCAGCCTTCGCATCTGTAAAATGGGAAGGCTCTTCCTGGGGACCTGACTGGTGGTGCTCAGGCCTGGTGCTGGCAGCAAGCTGTGCCCAGGGAGAGCAGAGGGCACCGATGGGGTCCCCCGAGGGTGGGGGCTTCAGTGTGAAATCTCGGCCGCTCTGTGACCCCCTGGATTGCGGGCTTTCTGCAGGGTTCCGGGACGCCTTCCTGGTGCAGGTGACAGGCCTCGAGGGTGCCGTGAAGGCTGCCCAGGAGCAGCTGCAGGCGCTGAGTGGGGGGGCCCGCTGTGCCCAGGCCGGAGCCGACAAGACCTGCATCCAGCTGGCAGACCTGGGAGTGGCATTGGCGTCCTCGGAGGAGGAGATCCTGCACGCAGCCACCGTCCTTGCATCTCTGGTACCCGGGGAGCACCCTCCCCACCCTGAGCCTGGGCTCTGTGCCTGTGGCCCCGGGGACACCTCCTTTCCCTTTGGGGAGGCTCGGTTCCTCCCCGGCCAAATGGGAGGCACAGAGAGCCTCCTCCGCTGGTCCAGTGAGGTAACGTGCCGGGAACGAGGCATAGCCAAGCAGGCAGTGAGCGAGTGCCCGCAGGGGGTGGGGGTCATGATGCACTTCCGTGTTCCAGGGCTCTGCTCCCCGGATGCTGACTGAGAGCAGCGTTTCTGAAGTAACTGGGGCTGCCCGGCTCTGCCCGGTCACTCAGCCAGGCGTGGCCCCTTGCCCTGCAGGGCTGGGCCATCCGTTCCCCTCTTTCCTCTTTTCTCTAAAGGTGGTTCCTCAGGAGGTCCCCGGCCAGCCCACCAACTGGAGCCGCCTGGCCACAGAGGCCCGTGCCCTCGCCAGGAGGTGAGCCCCGGGCCCTGGGAGCGTGGTGAGGTCTTGCCCACACCTTATGAAGGGAGCCTAGCCCTTCTTCTAGGGGTGCCAGGGTCAGGGTCAGCCCCAGAGGTGTCCCCCCCTAGGAGTTGGAGTCAGATGAGGACAAGTGCTGCCTGGTTGGGGGAAATGTCGCCCCCTGGGAAGGATCGGTGTGAGCACCTCCGAGATGCCAGGGATGGGGCTCAAAGGCACCTTGGACGACCGAAGGCACCCAGGACATCCACTGTCTTTTTAAAATAACAGCTTTATTCAGATAAAATGTGTGTATCCTAAAATTCACCCATTTAAAGTGTACAACCCAGTGGTTTTGAGTGTATTCACAGAGCTGTGCAACCAACCCCACAGTCATTTAAAACATCTCATCACCCCAAAACAAACCTGTACCCTCGCCATCACTCCCCATTTCTCTTCAACCTCCCCAGCCCCTGGCGACCACTAACCTCCTTTCTGTGCCTATAGACTTCTCCATTCTGCACATTTCCCATAGGTGGGATCACACAGTCTATGGTCCCTGGCTTATGGTTTCTTCCAGTTAGTAGAATGGTTTCAAGGATCGCCCAGGTGGAGCATACCCAGTATTTCATTCCTTTTCGCAACCAAGTAATGTTATTGTATGGCTGTGACACATTTCGTTTACCAGTCGTCCATCGATGGACATTGGGGCTGTGTCATCCACTGCCTTTAAGAAGCAGCTTAAAGTCCTAAAAACCCAGAATCTGCCGCATACTTCCCCTTTGCCTGTACTCTAGGGACCTTAGACCCATTTCACAGATGAGAAAACAGATTCAGAGACGTTAAGCGACTTGCTTAAGGACACACACCTTGCAAGTGAGAGAGTCGAGATTGAAACCCAGGCTCTCTTGACCACCCTCTTCTATGCTGCCTTCATTAGGGTGACCATATAAGTTATTGTCCAAGGTGAGATTTCACGGGTGATACAGGGTCCTATTCCTCGTTCTTCCAGGACAACAGGTATACACGCTATGTGACAGGGACAGGGATGTGCCTCCCCTTCCTGTCCGTCTTCGTCACGTGTCAGGCAGAGAGGGCGCTGAACTCTGGGGCAGCAGGAGGCCCAGGCCGTGGGGACTGTGGGTTGGGGCCAAGGCCCTCTTCCTTGTGAGCCCTGGGCCATGGTCGGTGGTATTTTCATTCAGCCACAAGGACACTGCTGCCAAGATCACGGCCACTGCCCAGAGGGCTCTGCGTGCCTCCAACGCCAGCTACACGCTTCTCTGGAGGCTGGTGGAGGGCAGCGTGGCCCTGGAGGCCCAGCGGGAGCTGGAGGACAGGTGAGCCCTCCTGGGAGCGGGTGGGAGCTTGCTTTGCCTCCTGGAATCGACGGGGCCTGGCCAGAGGCTGTTGGTTCCGGACCTGGCTTCCTTTCCCTGACAGGCTATGGGGTGGGTCAGGATGTGCGGGATCTTGGGCCCTATTGCTGGTGTCACAGGGACCCACGCATGCATGGGGGTGCAGCTCAGCCTCCGGAGAGAAGGACAACAACCTGAATGAGGCGGACCCTCTCTCGCCTGCAGTATCCCAGCCCCACCCCATGTCCCTGAGACAGCTCCTCTCCGCTTCCATCTTGGCCTCCACTTCCCTGCTGTGGTGGCCTCTTTATAGCTCTCTTGGTCAAAGGGTCAATGAGACCCACCAAGATCTGCCTGAGCCCCAAGGGGACTTCCTAGATGGGAGAATCTGATTGGTCCGGCTCAGATCAGATAGCCAGCCCTGAGCCAATCAGCATGGCTGGGGTGACCCACTGCTGTGGGGGCTCTGGCTCTTGGAGAAGGGGTGAGGGATGGGAGGGAGCCAGGTGGAGGTATCCACCCTAGCAGTGCCCATGGTGGGAGGAGCTGGGTGGGGTGGGTATGGGCAGCTGGACAGGACAGGGGAGCTGTTCTAGTTGGTTGATTACAGCAGCTCAGGGCTAAAAGGGCACAGAGCGGTCATGCAGCCCAGGGGTCGCCATGCCCAAGATCACCCAAGGGCACGCTGAGCCCAGACCCAGCCTGGGCCGCTGCTCCTTTCCCAGCACCAGGCATCTTCCTCCTTACGATTCATCCAGAGGAGCCAAACATTTGCAAAACGTGTGTTTCTCAAGTGGACACCCAGTGTGAGCCCTTCAGAAAAGCGTGACTGAATTGAGTGAATGAAGAAACAAGAATGTGGTCCTTCTACTGCTGTGTCCATTCATTCGAAATGGGCAGAGTGGCGGCCAGTTTCTGAGGCCAGCTCCTGGTCCCCCTCCACAGAGGGAGGGAAAGCAGGGGGGGGAGAGGCCTTCGAACATCCAGGGCTGGGGGAGGGGCGCAGGGCCGTGATGGGGAAGGGAGGCCCTGCACCCTGTTCCTCGGGCCACCTTGACTCTGTCTCCCCTCAGGTACCAGGAGGTCCAGGTGGCCCAGAAGGCTCTGGGCACAGCTGTGGCAGAGGCGCTGCCCGAAGCGGAGAGGGTGCTGGCCGCCGTGCAGCAAGTTGGCGCAGACGCAGCCCCGCACCTGACCTCGCCGGCCGCCCCTGCAGCCCTGGTCAGCTCGGCCGCGCTCCGAGCTCTGCGCGGGGTGGGGCCCAGGGAGAGGCAGATGCTGAGGCTTATTTTTAACCATCGATAAAAAAACAAGATAATCCTCCTCCAGGCTTGGCAGAGCGCCCGCCTGGCAGAAAGCAAGGGCTTGGCCCATCGAGGCTGTTGATTTCAATAATAATATCAAGGCGGGCTCTTCCCCATCACAGCGCCTTAGCAACGGCACCAGGCAGACTTGGGTTGGATCCCAGCTCCGCCGCTCCAGGCGTGACCTTGGCCTGGCCTACCTCTCTTTGGGCCTCAGTTACTTGTCTGTCAGGGGGAGCTGCATGTCCACGGGGAGTTGGGGGGATTGGTCAGTCATGCGCAGGTGACTCTCAGTGGGTGTCGGCCTCGGCCCTCTGTCACCCTACACGTCTCACCTCGATAAATTAGCTCCATTGCATCTTCTCAGTAACCCGGCCATCCCAGAACTCGGGCACTGAACTTTGAACAAAGCTAAGCTTATAGGAATGCATTTGGGGTGAACCATGGGCAAGACGGACCGGCCCGGCTGCTTACGGGGGTCTTGGCTTCTCCCCAAATGTGAGGGAGACGCGGTAGTGATGCCTGTGGAGAGGGACACCGCTAGCGAAGCGTTCGTCCCTGAGCGCTGGTTTCCCAATGCTGCCGAGGCTGCTAGATAACACGCAGCACCTGCCGGCAATGCTCCTCTAGACCCAGAAAGTCCCAAGTGACTGTGGACCTGGGGGAGGAGCTGCAGGTCGGGGAGGTTAGTTGGTTTGCCCGAGGCTGCGAATCCGGCCTCCAGAGACAGGGCTGACCCCACTGCTGCCCGGTGTCCACATGCCCCTGGTGCCTCTCACCCAGGAGGGATCTGCCCCGAGGTCCTTCCTGCCAGGTCTTGCCTGAGCCTCCTCCTCCCTGCAGCCTCAGAATGCCCGGGCCCGGGACCTGAGCCGGAAGGTGCAGGCCCTGGAGAAGACAGTCGCATCCAGGGAGCGCGTGATCACCGAGGCCACCCGGGCCCTCCAGGCCACCGCCCGCACCGCGCTGCACAAGGCGGAGCCCCTCACACAGGTGGGCGTGTCCTTTGGGGCAGGCACCTGGCGGAGGTCAGGGCTGCCAGGGGTGTTCTGGGAGCCGGGTTTCAGAGGACGGAGGGGCAGAAACCAGAGTCGTGCTTTTCATTTCTCCAGTGCCTCCCCCCAAACTCCAGAGAACTCACAGGCAGCCAGGGCAGGAGACAGATGGACAGAGAGGGCAGGATGGACAGACACACGGCAGCACCCAGGGCCACACCCACCACCCTATTCAGCATTAGTTACAACTGGATGGGTTCTCTTCATTTGTTCTTTCATTCACTAGTTCACCTGCCCAGTATTTCTCGAGTACCTACTCTGCTCATATTGCTGAACCACACAGGTTAGCATTTGCAGCCCAGAAAGGGAGGCAGTCAAATGAGGGAATCCATCCAGCAAATCCATATTCTTTTTTTAAAAAATATATTTTTTTTACTGATTTCAGAGAGGAAGGGAGAGGGAGAGAGATAGAAACATCAATGATGAGAGAGAATCATTGATCAGCTGCCTCCTGCACGTCACCCACCCACTGGGGATCGAGCCGGCAACCCGGACATTGTGCCCTGACCGGGAATCGAACCCTGACCTCCTGGTTCATAGATCGACAATCAACCACTGAGCCACGCCCGGGGGGCCAAACCCATATTCTTTTTCTGATCTTGCTTAGTGGTGGGGGGAAGCCTGATTTTCTGGGTGAAAGTTGTACCGCACACAGATTTGCTCCGTGAGGCACAGTTGCGTTCTGAAAAGAAGTCGCTTGTCCTTCCTGCCCTTCGCTGTCATGTTTGTTTTCCTGCAGGCTTTGCAGGGCAGGTAACTTCTTGGGAGAGATACTCGAGGATTAACATTTGTGTGATAAAACAGACCAGGTATTCGTGGCAAACATCATCACTGTCAGCGTTTAGGTGATGTTTTGGGACCTAGTCTAGTGGGGTTTGGTGCCCAGCTGACCGGACTCCAGGCAGCGCACCTGCAGGCCGCCTGCCAGCCTCCCTCTTCCCTTTCCAGCTGCAGCAGGAGGCCAGAGCCGCCCGGACCCGGGCTTCCTCGTCCGTCCAGGCTGCCACAGTGACCGTCATGGGAGCGAGGACCCTGCTGGCTGACCTGGAAGGTACGCAGCCTTGCTGAGCCCGAGCCTCATGGAAGCACAAATGCCCGTGACAGGCAGCTGAACGGGCTGGGCTGCAGGGGATAGGAGTCCAGTCACGTGGGCATAAACCAAGCGGACAACGGCCTCTGTGGCTGTTTCTCTCTCCCCATCTCACATATTACTCACCAGGGACTTGCCCACGTGGCCATCCCTCACCAGACCACATGCAGAGCCCTCAGAACCAGGTGGGGAGAGAATCTGACGCCATCAGTCCTGGTCTGGTCCATTCTGGCCAGGGCTCCCGTTACCTGGGACACATGTGACTGCTGTGGTCCAATGCGGAGTTGGGGCTACGGGGAGGGGCACAGTTCTTTAGAAGGGGTGTGGGTGGATGCCAGTCCAGGTCTCTCTTTGAGCTTTAGGAAAGTGGGGCTAAGTGCTCCCGTTTTGCAGATGGATAGACTGAGGAGAGGAAGTGCTGTCTGAATAGAAACCAGCCAGTATTACAGTGCTCACCTCGATGTCCCCCTGCATCATGGGCTCCTGTGATGTCCTCTTTGCTCTGCCCCCTCACTCTTTATTTGGGAGCTGGATAAGGCAGGGACATACTCCAGGCCCCTGATGCCTCTTAGGGTCTGAGACCAGAAGTCAGGCCTCTGCCATCATCTCGGTTCCTCGGCCTCCCTCCCCAGCCCCACCCTCTGCCCAGAAGCCGTGGGCCCAGACCCTCTGGGCAGAGGGTGAACTGGGGGAGCCTCCTATTCCCGGGGCTCCTGTGTACGCTGAGGTCCCATTGGTCAGAGGGCTTCCCTTGGGAAAGGCGTGGCCGTGTGTGCTTGTCCCGGATTCATGTTTAGGAGAATGTAAATGGGGTGATAAATAAGGATGGAATATTGGGACTGTAGGACATTATAAGGGCGTTGCATCCCTCTCACCAGACAGGAGACCCATCCACCCGTAGCTAGCTTGCCTCTGGTGGTGGTGTGTCCCTACCTCACAAGGTATCAGCTTCTCATTGTTGGGTGATTCTGAACCTGAAGGTTCCTCCAGGCACCAAACGACAATGCGTCTCCCTGGCACTGCGTCGTCATCTCCCCAGACGCACTCAGACCTCTCACCCCAGCTTCTCTTCCCCACTCCCACCCCTTTTCAGAGACACCCCCTCTTCCCACCAGCCAGCCTGGGCTCAGCTGGCGTTCAGGATGGAAGGGAACTTTGCCGAATGAAACGTGGCACGGCCTTCCCCAGGGCGCGCTCAGGGCCCCTCGCCCACACTGTGCTCTTCCAAGAGAGGCTTTGTGTTCAAACAGGCTTAGGAAACACCTTGTGCCACAGGCCGTACAGGGCACAGCTGAGAATAGCAAAGGCTTTGAGAAGTCCTGCAGTGGAGAAGCCTGGTTCACTTTATTTTCTCTTCATTGGCATTCCTCCCTGACATTGATGGACCCCCTGAGGAGGTCACACACATCCCATGCATCTCTGCCTTTACTCGTGTTGTCTGAGGGTCCGGGGCTGGTCAGGCATCTGCCGGCTCTCAAGCCACGAGCTGGGCCCTCCTGACAGCCTCGGGCGGTCTTGCAGGAATGTAGCTGCAGTTCCCTGGGCCCAAGGACCAGGCTGTGCTGAGGCGGGAGGCAGGCATCGTCCGCGGCAGGCTCCTTGCGGATGCGAAAAAGAAGACCAAGCAGGCGCAGAGGATGCTGGGAAACGCGGCATCTGTGTCCTCCAGTGCTGAGAAAAAGGGCAAGGAAGCCGAGCTGTTGGCCAAGAACAGCGCCAAGGTCAGGGACACGGATGTGAGGACGAGGGTGTCCCCGTGGGAGAGCTGCCCCTGCAGACCCGCCCCGCCCCGGGATGCAACGCTGAACATGCCACACGTCTGAAGGGCTCAGTGGGTCCCGGCTCTGAGCTCTGGCGCTTCACATGGGTGATTCCTCAAGACATGGGTGTCATTGCTGCCCTGGGGCGGCTGGGGGTCCGGAGGCCCAGCTGGTTCCGTAATTTAAATCACATAACGGGGACGCATGCTGGTCTGTTTGGCCTTATTCCCTGCCCCCCCAGGCCCCCAGGCTGTTCCTGTTTCACTGGGGCCCCGGTTCCGGCTGATCCGTGACACCTGTTGGCGTTATCCCCACAGTGGTCTCACCTCTAGAAGGATGGACTCTGTTCACCCTCTTGCCGCCCTGTCACCCCCCATAGCTCGCCAAGGCCTTGCGGAAGGAGGGGGAGAAGGCGCGCGGCCGTGCCAGCCGGCTCTCCAGCCAGGCGCGGGCCACGCTCCGGCAGGCCTCCCAGCAGGTGCTGGCCTCGGGAGCACGGAGACAGGAGCTGGATGATACTGAGCAGGTATGTGTGCCCAGGCCGTCACCCTGTCCTCCGGCCCCGGAGCCGGCAGGAGCCCTCAAGTGCTGCCTCCTCTGTCCTCCTCCTGCAGGTGGGCGCTGGGCTGAGCGTGATGGAGCGGCAGATCCAGGAATCACGCACCTCCCTGGAGAAGGACGTCAAGGCCTTGTCACAGCTGCTTGCCAGGCTGGGTAAGGGGGGCCCTGGGGCCCCTCTAGGATCTTCCTGTGAGCTCTAGAGGGTAGACTGCCCCAGCTATTGTCCCTGTCATTCATTCATTCATTTACTCATTCATTCATTCATGTTGGCACAATGCTTGACCTGTGGATGTAGGAGTGAACAGAACCACCTGCCCCTGCTCCTGACCCTGACCCTGCCCCTGGGGGTCTCAGATAAGCAGGGAGAATGGAGGCTATACCCCAATCCTGCTTCTCCTCCAAGGCCAGGCTCCTTAGACTCCCTGAGGACAGTGGGCCTCTCCAGGTCTTTGGTGAGAACAGGACCTGCCTGGCATCCGAGCTCAGCCCCCTCTGCCTCTCCCTTCCCCTGGCTCCGCGCCTGCGCTGCCCGCCCTTCCCTGAAGCCTCCTGCCCAGGAAACTCGAGGCCGTAGGGAGCCGGGGCCCAGTGGGATCCTGTGGGATGCCAAGCCATTTAGGGCTTACCTCCTCGTCACCTGGCTGGGCCCTGTCTTCCTGTTGACTGTCACCCATAATGACAAGGGCCAAGTGGGTCAGGCAGCCTGTGGGCTCTGTGCCACCGTCACCACCCAGTTCAAATATGAGCACCGGGCCCCACCCCCTTGTGGGAGTCTTGGGGAGGCTCCAGGAAGTAGAGCTAACCGCGCAGGGCCAGGGCTAGATGCCCGCTGCTCGCCCCACTGCCCGCCTGGCCCCTGCGTCCTCCCGCACCCACACGTGGCCTCTGTAAGTGTGCGCCCCTGCCGGGTGGACGTGGCGGGTTGGAGCCCGCAGGCATCACCGGCCCTCACACACACCACTGCTTTATGGGTGAGGAGACAGGCTCAGGATTCATCCAGGGTCCGCTTTCTAAACAACAGTAATACCACCCCCAAAAATTCACAGTTGCCCACCTATCTGGGAACATTCCGAGTCTGCACAGGAGCTTGGTGGGGTCCCCAGACCAGGCCGTCACCGCATTGCCTCTCAGGCCCTCGCCTTCCTGGTGGATTGGGGGCCGTCGGAATCCTGGAAGGCTTGGCCTGGGCAAGGTCTCTGCGGTGGGGCCAGGCGGGCTCCTGGGGCTGCAGGGAGCTGGCCGCACTGAGGCTCTCTGCCCTCCACAGAGTCACTGGACACCCATCGAGCCCCCGCCCGGGCCCTGAACGAAACCCAGCGGGCCCTGGAGCGCCTGAGGCTGCGGCTGGGCCCGCCCGGGTCCCTGCAGGGGAAACTGAGGCTGTTGGAGCAGGAGTCTGAGCAGCAGGAGCTGCAGATCCAGAGCTTCGAGAGCGACCTCGCCGAGGTCCGAGCTGACAAGCAGAACTTGGAGGCCATTCTACAGAGTCTGCCCGAGAGCTGCGCCAGCTGGCAGTGAGCGCTGCGGGCCGGGGCGCCACACCCGCAGGTGTGCCCGGAGCCTGCTGCTGCGACCTCCCCTGTGGTCACCCTCCGAGGCCATGCCGTGGCCCTGCTCCAGCAGGAGTCCTGTGCATTCACGCCTCCCCCGGCGTGTATACTCAGGTTCACCACGGTGGACACTCCCCCATGCACACATAAACACGCACGCCTCAGTGCCAACACAGACATACACGCACGTGGACATGTGTGGACACATGCTTGTGTGTGTGGTGCACACATGTGCGTAAGGCCATCTGTGCACGTACATGTATTAGAGTCAACCCACAGCTGCTTACTGAGCGCCACTGTGTGCTGCACGCCCTCTGTATGCTGGGAGTTGTGTTATCTTAAGGCCGCTGTGGCTTTAACATGCCACTCTCGCTCCAGGTGGGTACCCGGGAGGCCGAGGGGGCATCTGCAGAGATCTAAGGTGGGTTCAGCAAGAGCCAGAGCCCCAGTCCCAGAGTTACCCTCTGTCCCACTGCAGCCCTCCACCCCCACCACCCCTACACACACACACACACACACACACACACACACACACACACACGTACACACAGCTCTGTACAAACAAGGGACAGGCAGGCCAAGAAATGCAAGATCCTAGGGGGTTCTAGCAGTGGAGCCTGAGGCCCGGGACTCCTGGGGCCATGGTGCAGCCTCCTGGGCCTGTGGGGGTGGCCCCGCCCTGCGGGGATCATTGCTTCATGGGACACTCTGTTCTCAGGATCCACGAGCCCCTCTCAGCCTGTGGCCTGCCCACAGAGCTGGGCCTCAAGGGCTAGAGGGGGCCTGGATCAGGGGGCTCTGCTCAGGTAGCAGGGAGCTCCCCGTTGTGACCTCACTGACCCCAGACGGCCTTTGACCGATAGACACTTCCCAAACCGGCCCTGTGGCTCCGCGGCCCGCCTGCCAGGAGGGAGGCCCTGTTGGGTGTGGAGGCCTGGCTGCCTTTCCAGTCTGTCCTGCTGGGAATCCCCCTGTGGCCAGGCCCTGCCCGCCTCAGCCCAGGATTCCCTGGCATTTCCTCCTGGCACTCCTCCCCTTTCCCTGGGCCCTCTTCCAACAGATGGCAGGGCCTTGGCACCGGGTGCCCGCAGGGGGCCCAGGCCCCTCCCACAGCTCTTCCTGCCTCCAGCAGGGGGACAGGCAGCAGCACTTCAATTCTGTTTAACGTGGAAATAAAGGACCTCTTTATTAGCCGGTGGTGCTGGCTGTGGGTACACACACACACACACACACACACACACACACACACGTGTGTGTGTGACACCCAGTGCCCAGGGAGTGGCAGGAAGAACGTGCATGGATCTGCCTCGGCCCACACACAGCAGGAAGGTGGCAGAAGCTGAGCCCGCTGGTTTGGCAGGGTTTTCCCACTGGGGGGTTTTGCTGGGACCACAGGCATCTGCCCTCTCCCCTCTGCTCCAGGGGACTTAACGGGAAAAGTTGAGGGGCTGGGAGTTTGAAGGGCGGGGTACAGAGAGCCCTCAGCTGACCTCTGGTTCCGTCTAAAGGCACCAAAGCAGGAGAGGAGCTCCAAGTGTCCAGCAGCAGGGAGGCCAATGAGGGGGAGGACCTTGGGGGGGGAGGGGAACTTGCCAGGCAGGAGGGTGGGCAACAGCCCAGGGTTGGCAAGGTGAGGGCTTTGGCCGCCCCGGGTCCCTCCGGAAAGAGGTCGCATGGGCAGGACTCTGCAGCGCTCAGGGCTCCTGGCCAACGAGGCCTGCATGGAGCTGGTTTAAGCAGAAAGGAGGAGTTCAAGTCCGAAGGACATGGGAGGGTCCCCTGGAATCCTGGGTGGGAAGAGCTGCCAAGCCTCGGAGGCAGCCAGGCCGAGTGGCCTCCGGGCTGCTGGGCTGTATGGGAGGCTTCCCGCTCCCTGGTCTCTGCCTCTGCCCGTGCCTCTTTGCTTCGCCTTTTCTCTCTGCAGAGCAGCTTCTTAGCTTCCCCGGCACTTGATGACGAAAGAGGCCCACCGCTCCCTCCACCTCCACGGCACCGAGCTTACAAGTGGTCAGGCCAAATCCTTGGCAGAAACCAGCTGGAAACTGTCCTACTTCCACCTTCCTAGGAAAGGCCGCCCCAGCTCCGGCCAGGTCCCCTCCCCCTGCTCAGAACAAGGGTCTCTGTATCCCAGGCCATGTAGTGAGGGCTGAGCTGTGCCCGCTCCAAACCTGCGGGGGGCGGGCATTCAGAGAAGAGGTGTGGTCCTCCACAGAGAACCTGCAAACCACAGGCTGGGCGGGGGAGGGGGCCTGGGCGGTGGTGGGCAGCAGTGACCTGGCAGTGACCTGGCAGATTTGGGAGGGAGACAGGGGGCAGGGAGGTCAACACTGGAAGCTGTTGCTCTCCAGTGAGTGGGATGATTGGTGTCTGGTGTTAGGTGGTGCCAAGGAGATTGGGGGTTCTTTGAAGACCTCTGGGGCAGGGTCTGATGCCCCCAGGCCCCTCTCCCCCACCCCCACCGGCTTCTCTGCTGACAGCCTTCTGGTGCCTGCTGTTGGCATTAAACCTTTACCTGCCAAGCTCAGTCCCAGCTTCCCCGGCGGGTGGAGAGCAGGCCTCCTCTCCATTCCACAGCGACCGACGTTCCTCGGGCCTGACATCTCGTGAGTCACGCGGTTCTGTCGTGCTTGCTGTTGTAGACACACTCTAGCCCCAGAGGTGGGGCTGCCCCTGGTGGAATGAGGCAGCTGTTGAGCATCTGGCCAGCAATGCAGCCCAGCAGCCGAGCAGTGGAAGGTGGGGTGGCCCCTGCCCTGCAGAATGGCTGACCCGGGGCCAACCAGCCCAACTGGCCATCTGAGCCCGGCCGGGGCGCGAGTTCCCGGGGCTTTGCTCTCAGTGGCCTGTAGGTGAGACATCTCCCATCAACAAGGGTGGTCACTCCTAAGCCTGCTTCCCTCCAAGCTCTGCCGCCTGCTTAGACCCTGAAGGTCATGTTATCACACTCCCTGCCCGTGAGAGGGGCTTGCTTCCTCCGTTCTGCAGGCAGGAAACAGGCTCAGACGTGTCAAGTGCCTCGTCCAGGGTCACAGTATGGCCAGATCCAACCCTAGGGGTGAATGAGGAAGGAGAATTCCTGGAACCAAGCCCCAGGGACATGCTCTGTGCGTGCGTGTGTGTGCGTGTGTTGGGGGGGGAGGGGCATCACTGGTGACCAGGTGCGCTGTTTGCCTGGGGCAGTCCCCGTCTGTACCTGTGACTCCAGGTAGCTGTGACGCCAGCATCATTGTTGGGAGTACCACCTCTCATTCTCAGAAATGACCCGGTTTGGACAGGAAACTCCAGGGTCACCCTGTCACTCCTGCCCCCAGTGCCACTCCTCCCGAGCTCGAGGCTCGGTGCACCTCCAGGTGGACTGGCGCTGCAGACTTCCAGTTCCCGACTTCGCTCTTCTGTGAAATGGGAGTGTGAGTGCTACTTCAGAGAGTTTTTAGAATAAAGGACTTAACTAGATCTGGTATTGATCCCGTGCACAGTGAGTGCTCAGGAAAATCGGTTGTATTAACAACACACATACTCATTCTATTTTTTAAAAAAACATATTTTTACTGATTTCCGATAAGAAAGAGGGAGAGATAGAAACATCCATGATGAGAGAGAATCATCAATCAGCTGCCTCCTGCACGCCCCACACTGGGGATGGAGCCGGAACCGGGGCCTGTGCCTCACCGGGGAATTGAACCAGGACCTCCTGGTTCGTAAGTCGACGCTAACCACTGAGCCGCACCAGCCGGGCTCGTTCTAATTGATTTAGTGTCGCTGATGTCCCAATGGCACTTTGTCATTATGCATCTCCCCTCACACAACTAAACGGTTTTATATTTTTCTTTCAAGAATAAAAAGTGAGGACTGGGGGCGCACAGCTCCCTTCTGAAAGTGCACACTGCGCTTGGGGCGCTAGTAACGAAACGCCCCGGTGGGTGGCGCATTCACTCCCGCCGCTGCCACCCGCATTGCTTCTAGCAGCTACTCCAAGTGTGCGAACCAAGAGCGCCCCCGTTTACTTTACGGGGAGCCCGCGGCCCGCAGCGGGCAAGGGACTTGGGAGGGTCCCGGGAAGCGCCGAGAGGGAGGTGCCCACGGGCGGCCCGCGCGTGCATTCTCCGCGGCCTC